AGTCGGAGTGGAGGGAGTGGACGGAAACAGAAACTATAAAGAGCGGCAAGAAAATAGACGTCAAAGAAGAGGGAGAGTGAAAGAAAAGAGGCGTTGCGAGCGGGGAAGAAGAGTGAAAAGGACAGCGTCCGTCGACGAGAAGTGATGTTCATACAAATTTCATCCTTCGCCTGTAGCCCTTGGAAATGGTAGTCGCGGGAACCATCAAATCTTGACACGCTTTGCTTCTCCATCTCCTCGTCCCGAACACAAATAAATAATCAACCCCGGCAACATCGAGAAAGAAACGAATTCGTTTTCCTCCCTTCTCCCCCCTTTCTACGTGACAGAACAATGGCGGATGAAGTCTGGAATTAATGACGTGTCAGCGGCAGAAGCTGTTAACACGCCTCTGACAAATAAACACCCCTTCCACCCGCTCCGAGCCGACGGTTCCGTTTTCGTCCTACCGCGGTCTTCCGGCGCCATTTTCTTCCGCCCGTCGGCCTTCCAACCCCGAAAAAAAAAATGGCGTCCTAAGCGAGACCGGCGACAAATTCGGCCAGAGGGGACGAGGGAAGGGAGAGTAGAAAGTGGAGTCGTCGTTTACGTAGAAGCCGTAAAGGAAAAAGTAAAGGGATGGTATCTTATCACGCACGAGGAGGAATGCCGTGCCATTCATTAGAATACAATGACAATCCTGTTTAAACGGCCCCGGTAAGCGGGGGCTGATTTATGGGACCTGTCTACCAACCGGACAAGGAGCAGACGCAGCATTCGATTGTCGCCCTTAATCATCCCGTCGGAGTGACGAGAAAGCCCTCTTTTCCTCCATCCGGGTCACTAGAACACCGTCTACCCTAGATTAAAAAATATATATATAATATTAATAACCAGTGCCCCGGGCGAAACACGGACGACTACTAGAAAGCATTCGATTAACCCGGAGATGGGTGCCGGTTTTCGCAGCCATTTGTATGCTAATGTGTCCTTTAGAGTCTCCCTCGGAACCCTGTGCTGGAAGGACTTTCGAACCGCCTCTGATGCATTACCAAAGATTCGGCGCCCGTAAATTGATTTCTTCCAACCTCCTCGGGGTTTGTTCTTTTCTGTCCGGCAACACTCGATCTCTTCTCGAACGGAATCGACGAAGGAAACCGAAACTACGTCGGACATCTTCCGACCGGAATTGATGGATGACGACTTTCTCGCGCTTCCGCCTGCGTCGACACGTCACGTGACCCTTTCCTTAGTAATCCACTTAAGCCCGGCTGGCCAACCCCTCGAAACTTGACAGAAAAGAATAAAAAAATAGAAAGAAGAATGGGAGAAAAAGAGGGAGATCCTGGAGAAGACATGATTCATTTGTTCTTCTCGGCACAACAAGAATTCAAAAACTAATCTAGGTAGGACGGAAAAAATTGGTTTACAAAAAAATGAAAAAATGGGTAACGTCAATATTTCATAGGGAACAAGTCCCCGAGGTAAGGGTTGTTGGAGAAGTAAAGCACTTTAATTATTCAACGTGCATGCAAAAAAGATTCGACTGACAGTTACATTTGTTATTTTGAATATTTAAACTTGCCCCGACCAATGAGGTCCTTTCGCCGTAATGACGGCGTCTTATTCATTTGATAAATGTTGCCAGGTGTGGATACTTCGCTTCCCTTTCAGCCCCTTTAGTCTGGCACCGACCCAGCACTTATCCGGGTGGACCGCGTGCGGACGTCGACACCTTCTTTAACAAATAAGCTCGTTTCTCGAATGAAAAATCACTCGGGGTAGTAACCATCCTTTCTCCGTGCCCGACGCGCGCGCGCACACACGTTCACAGTTTGTAATTGGCCATCACGCGCTGTTATACAGTGCTCCCTTCTCGTGACAATTCCCAAATTGCTAATAGAGATTTTAAGAAAACGTTACTAGTTGTAATTCACCCACGCTCCTAGTTTTTTCCTTAATTTATGGTATTTCTGCGGAAGTATAACAAGGAATATAACTTTTGTCAGTTATATTCCTTGTTATAAAGAACGAACCGGTTTCTAAAAACGCGAGTCAATGGGTCTTCCTCTAATTCCATTCGTCTTTCGCCATCTTTCGAGATTTATCATCCCGTGTCTCTGATGTTCCTGTTCTGTTTTTAGTCTCTTTTTTCTTTATTTTCGTACAATTTATCATATTTTTCTGGAATAAACTTATGTTCGGCCTATTGTATTTCTTGAATTCAAAAAGATACATTGGTTCCAGAAATACAAGTTGATGATCTTCCTCCGATTTTCTCATCATCTTCGATTCTTCAAGATTTATTATGTGCTCAACTGAGCATTATATTTTTTTTCTTTCCGAAACCCCAAATGCTAGAATTTAAGCTTCCAGGGAATATTCTGTAATATCTGTTAGAGAAGATTCACTCCAAGCTTCAAGAGGTAGACTGGAATTTAAAAACAACGAGATAGTTTCTAAGAAAATACTGGATCGCAGCCATACAAAATCGGGCGCTCAATAGTATCGAAGTTACCGTAGATATCCTGAAACCTCCCTTTAAGTTGCCATCATCCCTGCCACTCTACTCTATTGGTAACTTCTAATGTGATTCTTTCGCAAATCACAGGATTTACGATTATATCTTCCATCCTAATTTGCAGGCTCACCGACTGATCTTATCCTCCGAATTGGCGAGGTGCATCTCGAATCATAAATCTACCTCGGGTGGTGCTCTACTATCCCTTTATTTTAATTTTAATACAGGATCCACATAGCGAGAGGCAATTAATCATCTAGGACAATGCGGCACTTCCCCACTCGACGTGATTGAACACGAGTTCCCCACTGGGGCCAAGATCATTCGATCAACTTTTTTTTTGTTTCGATTCCTACCACTTTCCACCACAATGGGGTAGAGAAGAGCAAAAAATGCTCGGGATTTCTTCACCAATAAGTAATAATTTTCACGTAAAAACACGAAAAAGACCCTTCCAACAAAGAGATGTTCTCGTCACTTCTGACTGGATGCGCGCCACTTTAAGGATTATCCTCTTTAAGAACACAATAGGAGGCATTGAATGAGGATGCTTTGCTGCTCCCTAAACAACGCGGGAGGACCAGGGAAACGTTTTGTCCTCGACACCTGGTGAATGGGGAAGGAGCGTTGCCATTTTTGCTACGCTCGGCCTTTTTTTCCCCTTCTTCATACAACCTATCTATAAACGCATATGAAAGCCGCAGTTTTCAACAGGTAGTTTGTCCATATTTTCCCACGTTGCTCCGCTTCTCACGCGAGAGACCAGTTTCAATTTAGTGTCGGGTGAGGACCGGAAACCCGAATTACTTATCTAGACTTCTAGGACATATATAAAATTAACAAGGAGGGAGTTTTGTACACGTTTTAAAACTTTTTCCTTACATTCGGATGCTCCTTACTCCAATAATATCGAATAAAAATGTAGTAAAATCGTTGGCGCGTGAAAGAAAATGTAATTGAAGTCTAAGAGTGTTTTTTTCCTCCCACCCTTTCTCACTTCTCCCTTGTTTTTCTAATTAACATTTTAGACTTTGTTTAGCATCGAAATGAGTCGGCAAAATGGCTTTTTTTTCCTTTTTTACTTTTCCTCTTGCCTCCTTGCCTTTTCCCAACTGTCCAGTTTAGCTGTAATGAGCGAGGAATTACGGGAGCGGCGAGAGGAGATGTAAAAGTCTCCAAGTGTGCTCTATGACTCGAAAATAATCGTCTATAAATGGCTTCGGGTCTTTGGCAACTCCTGCGCTGAAGTTTTTTGAAATTCGGCTTTTTCTTTACGAAATTGGACCCGACTTTTTACTAGCTTTAAGAATTAAGTTTAGAGACTGGAGCTCGGGTGGTGGCACTCTTTTATAGACGCGTGTTGAATTAATGCTTTGAAGAAAGGGCATAGAAGCAGCGAAATGCATAGCGGGTGGCATAGATAACAAATTGAAGTCATAACGTGATCTTGTTGCGCTAAATCTCGAAATTGTACAAGTTCTTTAATTACCTAAAATATTAATTATTCCAAAATGTGAGGGGAAAATCATCATCTTGTAAGTTTCATACGGCTAAACGAGTGGAAAAAACCACTTTTAAATATGAAGAGTTAACACATAAGATGAACTTTCACACGTTCCTTCTGCCGCCAATGAAAGAGATTTAAAAATATGTTAAAATGAAGAAAAAGTGGACTCTTTTAACTCGAACGTAAATGTGAAAATAAGACTTATCGCTGCTCTTGTAGGGGCCTTAACTGTAAAATTTTGATAGTTAACCCTGGAAAGTCTTATAAAAGCATTTTGATAGATGAATAAATAAAATAATTCAGTAGCGACGAGATAAAAACGTTAAGATAACATGGGCACTTCACCTTGTATTTTCGTTAGACAAATTGTAAAGTCCAACAACATCCCATTGCTGCGTGTTTGCCGTATTTTTCCGATAAGATTAACAGCATTCCTTTTTACAAAAGTATAGTTTTTCTCGCTTTCGATAAGTTATCAGGTCGAAAGAGGTAGAAACGGCACCTAATGAGGGGAAGTGACTGCAGTTATATAGAGTATGGAGTGTATGGTAGATGGAAAAAAGGTAGAAAGGGGGAAAAAGCCTTCCCATTTGATACACCATAAACTTCAAGTTGACATTTTATGAGCCACATAAAATTTGTCACAGGAACTGCATCGACAAGACTTAGCTACCGGCTGCGCTTCTACATTTTCGAGTATCGCTGATTGTTGCCCAATGAAGATAACTTAGTCCCATACACTGCCTATTAAAAGGGGGACGGCAGTGCTTTTTAAAGAAATGATAAGCTATTTTACCGTTTCTTTTAAACCGCACTGGCAAAGGCTGCTTATCGATCACGTGACGCAATTTACCAATTTTAACCCTTAAATTCCACTTTCCGGATGGAGAGATTTTTCAAAAATTCTCGAATTAAGCAGCGGATTATTGCCACGGGCGAGGAAATAGAATTCCTTCTACCCTTACCCCCGAAAAGTGATAAATGGTGACTTACCAGCTTCGCTGTTATTGTCGGTGCTCTGCTGGGAGCTGGGTTGTTGGGAGAGGGGGCCCGGTGTCCCTGTCGACCCTGCTGGAGACCTTACATCGTCGGGACCGGTGCTATAGGAATTCAGGGACTGGGAGGGCGGTCTCTGTGGGGAGAAACAATAGGCCTACGTTAGCTATAACACGTGTTCTGCACTTGGTAAATCGTGCTACAACTACAGTCAATATAACTTATAGGTCTATTTACTTTACTTTTATATAAATATTAAAATATTATAAAAATTTACGTATTAAATAAACATTAGACTAATAATATATTAATTAGAATCTATATCAAGTAGAATAAAGCGCGAGAAAGATGAAATCGAACAGCATTAGTAAGGGATGCGGTTTGACTGGATAAATCTTAAGAAATTATTTACCACGTTGTATAAAAGTTGTAGAGGAGAGAAAGGAAAGCGAAAATGTCAAAAATTAAAGGCGATAGGAAAGAGGTGGTTTCCGTTGGGTTATCGACCGAATATCCCTACAAGTCAACGAGTAAACGATCATCGATTTAAGACTGGCAGTCTAACAATTGTATCGGTGGCCATGTACCAATCAGTCAGCCACGTCTACAATCGATGCTCGACTGCAGCAGACTGGCAAAAGGTGTCGTTTGGTAAACAAATTACTGTTGATTCGATTGGGATTACCTAATGGCACCCTATTTATCCCAGCAAAAATCCATTTCTACCCGCAAGACACTGTCACAACACTCACCGAAGTTCACTTCTCCGCACATCTTTTTAGGAAATCTTTAAATTTTAAATGCAGCCGGAAGACTTAAAAGAAGATTTTTGTAAGAAACAAGAAGCAGCTGTAATTACATGGAAGTTGCCGAAGGTATGGACTTTGCAATATCTGTAAATCTTTGGTCACCTTAAGTGTAGAAGGACGGAGATAATGGCCAGCTGTCTCGGACAAGTTGAGCTTTGTGCCTGAGTGATGGACACGAGAGAAGAGAGCCCAGCGGGAGAGTTATGGACTTTTCTGCAGCAGAAGTCGCTCTCTCAGACAGTCAGCACAATAATAAGCTGCAATAAATTGTTGGACGACCCATCTTCTGTAAAATAACCGATACTTAACGATTCTACTTATTAGCTTAAAACTCGGTGAGAGTATCGACATTAGTCAAATTATAGCCAATACTAGAAAAGATATACTGAAGAATTTTTCGTTTTTTGCCCCTCGGAGGGCTTGAGGAGGAGGGAATTATAACAAAATATTGCCAAGCCCTACGAGAAAAATTATTCTATCGTGTTCCTACCACGATGAATTGACGATAATGATTGTTTAGCGAAATATAACTTAGTCATGCTAGCCAGCATCGTAAGTTTTATTAAGAATTGCTGGCTTAGAAGGGTTAATGATGTAAAGACGAGCCATGCGGAACTTATCCCCGAGGGTCAGAAATCTCGTTGTTAATTCCACGATTACCTCCGAGAGAAGCTACGAGTCTTCTACTTTGTATTTATTAACAGAGGATAACAATTTGAAGCCAAGACGATTTTATTCAAACGTACAATTTCCTCGTGTCTGAGAAATTAATTTTTGCCCCGTTGCTGCCACCGACTGATAAATATGGCGCCTGTTGAATTTGCTAGACGATGCAAACATTAAGAGAAAAAAATTTCCAACACAGACAAATTAGATCCATTTTTAAAAGTTAAAAGTGAATCACACGCATCGACTTTGTGATTTATGTCAAGATGGTTTCAGCCAGATTTATGCCTTTCTAATTCAACAAATGGCAAATCTGTTCCTACTCGTTTCTCCATCTTTCTTTTGGGTGCAATTAACCTAACCGTCTTTTCCATCCATAATTTATCTCTGATGTTTCCTTAACTACGCCATCGAGTCCTTTGAAAGTTAAATAAAACCATGTAAACGTAAACTCTTTGGCTATGGAGGAAATGGAAGGCTCGATACTGATAAATATCGCTTTCTTCGTAGCTAAATGCGCGATATCCGTCTATTCTGTATGTAACAGACGTCTGCAGTAGACGTAATGAGCTATAAGCTGTGCGCCGTCATAATTGGCTCTGTTCTATGATCTGTATGTGTGGACTAGGAACGAATTTGCAAAGTATTTGTAAGCAGTACGCCTGAAATTAGGAAGATTTGTATGCCTTCTAGCTATACAAATCTTTCTGCTATCGGAGTGATCCGAGTTCGAAACCTTCCGAATTCTATTGATTTTTCCAGTGTAGTTCAAGGTTTCATTTTATATACTCGAACCGATCGAATCCGCTGTCGTAATTGTCAAACTTAAAACTATATGATTCATTGCGCGTTAATGCCCCGGGTGCAATCTCTAGCCAAATACTAAACAAATAGTTCAAGTTAGCCTTAATATGGTTGTTCGGTTTTGTTCTACATTTTCTACATCGTCTCGTGATTAATTGGAGGAATTTCGTACTCGATACTCATATCTAGGCGAAGAATCTCTTTCATGCATTGTTCGATAGTATTTCCTGAATGCGCAATAATTCAATAGACTTAAATATAAAATATACTTCATTTGTCTAGAACAGCGTTTCTCAAAGTGGGCGATAACGCCCCCTTGTGGGCGCTGGAGGCTTTCAGGGGGGCAGTAGAAGGCTCAAAGAGAATTGGGGGACGTTAAGGAAATATAGAGGGGCGACGGCATACAAATTCTATATATAAAAATTCGACGAAATATAGATAAAATGTTGACATTTTATATATATTTTATTTTTTATTGAAGGTCACAACTTGAATATTTCTAACACATTGACTTTTATTTTAGCTCAGCGTTTCTCAAAGTAAGCAATAACGCCCCCTTCTGGCGCGATGAATAGATCTATGATAGAGGCAGGGTATTGAACGGTGACCAAAGGCAAAATTGGGGCTGATAAGAGGAAACATTGCGTTTAATGGTTTCCAGATGATGAGAACAATGTACAGTAAGGGCACAAAGTGTGAGATTCGTAGAAAAGTTTTCCTAAGAATATTTCCAATCCTTTTCTCACACAAGAGAAAATGGGTTAGGGGCGTTGGGTATAACTTTATGGAACAAAGGGGGCGGTGGATCGAAAAAGTTTGAGAATCACTGGTCTAGAAGGACCTAATTTTATTACTAGGACTTATTATACTGGTGACTGGTGTTTTCTTAAATTGCGGAACAATCAGAAAAACAGTCTTTATTTCAGTTATTTTTCACCTGTGGTGAAAAATAAGTCCTAGTAGTAAAATTAGGTCCTTGTAGACAAATTAAGTACAAAACCAAGGACACAAAGACACCTAATTTGATAAAATATTAGCGTTTAATTTTTCTCCAAGGTATTGACGTAAGTCTATTAGCATACGTAATTCAACTCGAACGAAAGCGAATACTTCTAAATATTTTATGTCAAGAAACAAATTATTCAAATTCTACAAAATTTCATTTTTGAATCCTTAAATTCGTCACAAGAAACTGAATGGAACCTTGGGATTCTTTCCGAAAACCTTAATCCTAGGATGCTGCTGCAAAGATCCTCGAATGACAGACGATGCCCTAAGGATTCCCGAATCTCGAGACGCTCGCTTAAGGATCACTGAATCACGGGATGCTGCCTGGAGAATCCTCAGATGAAAGACTGATCTAACACTTACTCAGTTTATATATTAACAAGGAATGTCCGAGTTTAGACTTTTTCCTAACTTGGATGAAAATTTAGCAATATTTTTGTTTCTATATTCAATAGATTTAAATGTGTTAGGAGTGAGTATTAAATTCCATTTTGTTATTATTACTTATAGAAATTCACTTTTTTCTCTTTGCTATAGCCTACTTATAGAAAAATATATTTTGAAATGACTTGTATTTTTCTCAGCAATCTCATTAAAAGTACGGAAGGCGATGAGACGGAGTTAACGAGATGGTAATTTCTTTTAAATTCTGTGTACGGGTCGTTGATGAATTTGCCAAGTTTGGGGCCAGATTAAAGAAATGTACTGAAGAATTTCATCTGTGGGTTGTATCGAGGATCAACAAGAGTCAGTCCTGTTTACTCTGCCGGATCAACACATTATTCGGCGCATTGGGCACGCACATGCACAAACAGAGAACCCCGTCGGGCCGATATATCGATCACGGAAAACAAAACTGGCGCGAGGGGGATAAGAAGAAAATCCCTACAAATGCACTTTGCATAAGGTGGGAATTTTTCTCATTGGTTAAAACACCGTCGGGGCGTGGTGATAGGCCAGGTGGGAGGTGTGGCTTGTTACCCAAGCGAAGAGAAAGATGGCGACCGTTCCAGTCACCTGTGGAGAGTGAATTACGGCCATCCCTGACATCTTTACACTCCCGTCCATTATTTACGACACATAACTGTTTTTTCGCCCCGCGCAACCTCGACGTGTCCGCTTTGACTTACGACTTGTGTTCTTACTTTGCCACAACTGCGTTATCTCTGACGTCATTTCCTGTTTGGCCAAGATAAAATTCGAGATGGCTAAAAGGGTTTAACATTGTTATTGTGAGAATTAAACATTAATATATACCGGAAAGAGCCTGGAATATTTTCACAAAGGATAATCCCTACATAAAAATCTCTCTTGGCATTCGTACAAAAGAACTTATATATAATTCGATTCAAAACGATTCGACATCAAGCTGTATCGATTACGTTTATCGGGATAACTGTATACACGTATTACAGTCGAACAAAAGAATTTTGCTCCCGATCGTCCCTACAGAATAATCAATAAGTAAAACTTGTGTAGCTTTAGTTGTTCAGTTTTGTTCTAAATACATAAACCGTAACATTATTGATTTGTTTTCCGTTCATTTTCACCAACCTCACTAATTTGCGTTAGGAAAACGCACGAATGTCACCGATTGAAATGTATTTTCTTAATACTTTAAGAAAGTAAATAAGCGTACCGGTGTTTTTCTTAAAATTCCATAGACTTTTTATTGTTATGCTAAAAGAAAAAATTTAAATTTCCGAGTTGCATTATTACTCTAGAAGCAATATAACAAATTTGAAAGTCATGTTGGATAGCGAAACTTTCGCATTATCTATTCCTATTTACTGTATGGAGAAAATAAATTGCCCTTATTTGTTTTTATAACAGTATAGTCGAATTTATTTATTCATACAGTAGCATAAAT